TGAAGTGCAAGACATGTATCAAGAATTAGATGACAAATGAAACATATGAAACAGAAATATCAGAATATCTGCTGAAGACAGTACTGTCATGCGGCATTATTGATCTAGCCACAGCTAAAAAGCACTAAATTGTGAGTGGCAGAATGAAGGCAGTATTTCTTTAAAATCCTTGAGACCTGTTTTTCATCAGGTTTGTTGCATAAAGATTTATAGGTAGCCACTTTGTTAAGCTGAACAAAACCACTCAATTAGATTCACCAATCAATTAGATACTTAATTTAAGGTTATGCCTTATGAGAAAATGATAAACTACACCATGTATGACAATATTTGAAAGTTGCATAAGATGAAATAACCATTATAAGGTTTGAATAAAATTCCAATTGAAAAGCAGCATTAAATTAATCATTGAAAAACAGATCATGACAATTTATGAATAAACAGGGCAGCATACACAAATGAAGAATGTTCAATAAATTTCTTCAGTGTAGCTAGGTGGAAATACTGAGATCAGATGACTGGGGTCACAAATTTAATACAGAATAATCATGAGCCTGAGAGTTATTTGCAGACAACAGTGTTTCTTGAGCAAAAAATTAAGGGGGGTATGTGTAATAGCTTAAAGATTATTTCACCCTGCTTATTTAAGACAAACTGACTAATTCATGGAGAAAGTTACCTAGTATATTAAGGAAAATATATGCACACCCAAGGAAACTGCACACAACCAAATTACATGGAAAGCAAGGGAAAAAATCAGAAAATCACTAGGCTGAGCTTGAAAACATATCATCAGAAACATAAACAAAATCATCAACAGGTTGATCAATGCTATTTCATTTTTCCCTTTCACGTGTTTTAAGGAGGGTAAAACTCCAGTAGAGCTAATTTGCAAAGAGGTTTTCTACTACAAATACTTTCAAAATTCAGAACTTTCTACTGGGAAGATTCTAGTCCAAAAATACATCAAACACCTCATAACTAATGTAAAATGAATAGATATTTATGTACATTTTGCCCCAAATGTTCATAATACTTTGGTCTTGAACACCTAAGTATACTGTTCTCAAAATAAATATTGATTATTTTATTGATTGATTGATTGATTGATTGAGTTTATCCCGTTCAGTGTGCGTCTCTCTGGTACAAATCCGAGCGAAAACTGCCATATTTTCCATTCTGATCACGTTAAAAACATCCAGATGATATTCAAATTATCGTCCATTTTCTAGATAAGATAGCATCTTGCACATTTGATAATCTTGATTCTGTTTAGGTGAATGAGAACTTGTTCGCCTATCAAAAAGAGATCCATTGGATTGATTCCGTATAGGCTGAGTCAAAATAACTATGAAACAATCCCTCCACAGTCGTTAACCAGTTTCCTGATAAATTACAACGGTTTATTGGACTGGAACATTTACATGCACCATTCAAATCACCCTGATATCACACCAACATCCACAAACGCCTGCAGTATTGACAAGTAGGCCCCAATGATACAGGGTGCAGATAGTCTTGCCTTCAGAAACGGGCACGACCTCGTGATTGATTTCCTCCAGCTTCAGCCAATCAAATGCTGGAAATCGTACCTCAACTATTATTAAACTATTATTATTATTATGACGAGGTCGTGCTCATTTCTGAGGGCACGACTAGCATTGTTTTTCTCTATTGCTGGGCACGACCAAACATAGGCTGTCCAATTGAAGCTTCTATTGTTGGGCACGACCAAATCACAAGGTACCAGATTTTGGGCACGACCAATATGAAACCCTGTGGATTTCTACTCCGCTCCTGAAATAATTCAAGGGGCCCTGGGTGATTCGAGTAGAATTCACTTATGTCTGCGGGATAAGCTTGATCGATTTGTCGATTATACTACTAATTTTTGTCTATATTTGAAAACTTTTCGCGGAGCCAAATAAATTTTTGCCAATATGTGAAAACCTTACTTTTGGAAGTTTATGGTCGTGCCGGGCACGACGGGCACGACCTTTGGCTTCGCCACTGTTTATGTACCTTTGTCCATTCAACGGGCTCATTTGATGAAGCCTGCTTTGGTTTAAGCTTCTTGGCTTGCTTCGGTTTCTGCAGTAATGAGATTGATTTTGAATGATTGTCTTTGAACAAGTCATAAATCGGCTTCGCTATCCTTGAAAAATCTGCAATGTATCTACGGTAATATCCCAAAAGACCCATAAGATGGCGAACGTCACCAACTGTTCTTGGTACCCACTGTTTAAGACTTCTAATTGCATCAGTGTGCTTTGAATCTGGTCGATATCCATCTGCTGAAACGATACGTCCAAGGTAATTAACTTCTTGTTGGAAAAGATGGCACTTCTTTGCTTTGAGTTTCACTCCATGCTCTTGTAACCTTCGGAGGACTTGTCTTACATGTTCTACATGTTCGTCAAATGTATTTGAGTAAACAATTACATCATCTAAATATGGTATGCAAAATTCATCCCTATAATCGGCAAGAATTGTTTCCATGTATCTCTGAAATTCACGTAAGACACAAGACATTCTTCAAGACACAATTCATGTATCTCAGCGCATTTTTTAGTCCAAAGGGAATCCTGATCCACTCAAATAAGCTCCACGGAGTTACAAAAGCTGTCAACTGTCGACTACTTGGGTGCATAAAACCTTGGTGATAGGCCTTCCCTTGGTCTAAGGTTGAAAACCACTTCTGTCCTGCAAATCCATCTAGCGTATCTTGTATACGTGGGATAGGATGTCGATCTGGGACTGTCTTGTTATTCAGTTGTCTGTAATCTATTTTTCAGTTTTGTCTCTGTAAGACACTTTGTCAGCTCTTGCAAGCTGATGATCGATACCTGAGCCCCAGTGTCCAATAATACAGGGGTTTCTACCCCATTGAGTTTACAAAGAACAATACATTTGCTTCAAATTAATTTGGCAACTCTTGCTTTTTCCTTCGGTGTCACATGGGTTGCATACCATTCCCATTTTCAGCATCCGTGAGACTCAGCTCAATAACAGATTCTTCAAAATCTTTCGAAAGGGTTTGTAGTGAATCACAAATGGGCTTATGCTGCCGCCAAGCACTAACTTGACATTTCTTACCACAATAACTTGCCGCTTTACAAGCACCACAACGGAAAAGCATGTTCTCCTCTTTTTCAGCTCCACAAAAACTACAGCAATGGGACTTTGAGTTTCTTTTTTGGGCTACTGTCTGTCCCGCGACAGCAGCCGTGGGAAGTTTCCCTGCATTTTATTGCAGTTATAAAAGAGATGCCCTCCACCTCCACATTTCCAACAATGGCAAGCTTTAACTTCCGCAACAAGCTCTTGGACTGCAGATTTTTCCTCAGTGGTTGACTGCACTTGGGTGACTTTCCTCTCTGGCCTAGCCCCAATTTGAGGTTACGCTCAGATTCCTCAGTGACTGCTATATTAAGCTCATTTATCAATTCTGCATCAGCCACACCTGGTCTTTGAAGATGCGCGCGCATCCTCGTTCTCAATGAATTACTGATCAACCCCGTTTCAACAGCATGTAAAAACATCGACTGGCACTGTTCCGGCTCATATTTAACTTTTGCGTGTCCCGCTTTAGAGGCAAAAATCACCTTTTCTCGCAGGTTAAGTGCACGTAACAGAAAATTCTGTGGTTCCTCATTTGCATTTTGAACCAAATTTGTCAAACTTGTATACAATCTACTCGCGTTTTTCCCTTGAAATGTGCCCGCAAAATTTTGTTGATCGTTTCCAAACCTGATTCACGCATAGCCTCGATATAGTCCTTTAAAAGGAGGCTGGATGAAATGCACTTTATAATTCCATCAATAACTTCTTTCTCCTCATAACCCCATTAAGCCCTCCCTCTATTTGCCTATTAAGGGGGTCATTTCCACTAAAATATGTTTTTTCTGTCAAATTTGGTTTTTTCTTGATTCTCATGTAAGCTTCTATGAAGAATCACATGGTAACATTTTTTTTTGCAGTCTGGTCTGCCAAAATGTGTTAAATTTGCTTTTTATTATATCTACTATTCATGCTCTTCCTTAGCAACCAAAATTTGTACGGTTGCTAGGGAGGTTTTTTGATAAAACTTGCAGAATTTACGACACATCTGAAGAAAATCCGTGTTCTGTTCTTCAGTCCATATTCTGTAGTCCATGTTTTACTCGATGTCCATAAGGTATCCCATGATTCCTTTTCCCAATGATTGGAGTGTGAGTTTCAGTGTGAGTGGAGGTGTAGATCGACTTGGCGAATAAGTAAAAAATCCTTCGATATTTACCAAATTAAAACATATAGCAGAAAGGATGCCAAGGAAGAAATCTCTTTTCAAAGGTAAACCGTATTGGGCCCTCAAAAGAGACACGGAGAGCCGAGAAACGGATACGGAAACAGCTGGGCCATCAACTGATTTAGGCCAGTGTCCAGATGAGCCAGTTTTCGTTCAAACACAGCTTCCAGTTAATGAACCAGAAGAATTTATCCCAATGATTGATACAGATACTGTTCAATTTGTATCCGAAGAAGGATTGTTAATTATAAAGAATTACAAAGATTTGCAAGAGGAAGAGGATGTCCAAGTAGACATTGATTTGTGTGAATCGGCAAATGCTTTGTTTACAGAACCATCTTTCGAACTCGTTGGAACCACATCTACCCCATTAGCGTACAGAAGAAAAGCAAACAGTTTGATACCTCTGCTAACTGATGATGAAATGAGCACAGATCAGAGTATACAATCTGCATCCCAAAAAAAGTTGTTGCATGTATCTCTGGAAGATTCAGATGACGAAATCGTAAGCACGGTGTCTTCAACTGATTTGAGAGGGTACAGAATTTTAGGCATGGAATCATTGGCTACTGCAGTAGGAACCATGCAATCAACATGCCACAATGCAAATTT